GACAAAAGGTAAATTAAAATAATAAGTATAAAATAAAAACGTGATATTTTTAGCGATATGACAAATTTCGAAAGTAAAAAATATTGCAACATTTTATATCATCAGGAAGCAGCAGTTATTGCATAGTGGCTTGTAATGATATGTATAATTAGTTTGATACAATTTCAAAGAAAAAAGTAATGTGTGTTGAAAGAACAAATAATAACTTATATTATATATAATAATAAAACTAACCTAAGATTTTTATACGTGCATTTGATACATACCAATTTATATTACCCACGTGTGAAAACCATGTTTTCTGCTCGCATGTAGTACTTAAAAAGTGGTTTTATTTTTAAAACCTAAGAATAATCTGACTTAAGATAATGAGTAAACAGAAGACATCTGAAGGGGGAACATACATCAAGAGACATCAAAGAACATAATAGTCCTGCTGGTTAGGTGCCACAGTCTTATGGCGCGTCTCTACCAAAGTTTTGTTGTCAACACAACATTTGCCAACATGTTTTGCCAACAAATGTTTCTGTAATCACCTAGTTTTAGCAACGAAACGAAACAATGTCGGGAATCGTGTTTCCATTTTCGGCGGCAACATCAAAGGAATACGCTTGTTGCAAACATTTGTTCCCTCGGTGGAGACGCTTGTTGCAACATTTTGAAATATTTTCAGAAACAAATGTTGTCAACTTTTGTTGATTTGTCAACAGTTGGAAACATAAATGTTGTCGACATTTTTGGTGGAGACGCGCCATAACTTATTTCTGCCGCCAAATAACAGTGCGTGAACTGCTGTGTCCTTGTCTGCAGGTACAACTATACAGAGTTATTTATTTTTTCAATAACCGGCTTAATTTCCAAAGAAGGTTCAGAATAAATAATAAGGCAAACGGGGAAGAAAAAAATAAAAAAAAATCTCAAACATTTTGTCGTTTTCAATCAACTTCAAAAAGGAGACGGTATTCAATTCGACTGTATGTTTTTTTATGTGAGTTACCTCATAACTTTTTACTGGGTGAATCGATTTCGATGATTCTTTTTAATTTTAAATTATTATCTTTTAAATTCATAATTTAATATTACATTTTTTAAGAACCTACTTCAATATAAATTACTAAGAATAACTCTAAAACTATTACTCGGACCTTAATTAAATTTATATGGGACTACACGTGAAGCACCAGCTTTCAAATAAAAAAAGAATCATCGAAATCCGTTGACACACTAAAAAGTTATGAGGTAACACACTTAAAGAAACATACAGTCGAATTGACTACCGTCTCCTTTTTGAAGTCGATAGAAAAGCGTGGTAAATGGTAATTCATTATTTTAACTCATTTTACTGCGCACGTATACATTTGTAAGGGTCGATCGGTAGGCAAAAACGTTGTTGCCCACAAATCGGATTCAATTTAGGATAATTTCAAATAAAAGTAGATCCTTTTCTTAATCTTATTTTCAAAAACTGCTATAACGGTATATCATTGTTTATATATTTGAACTTAAGTTTAAAATTTGGCAAATCTGAATAATAACCCTGTATAGAGAGCCGGCATGATTACGAGCTGTGAGGTATGCCTTCTTAGTCTTCAGAGGTGACAACGCATCTGGTCAAGTTGATTGTAAGTAATACTTCCGATCCATTAAATAATGTATTGACACTTGTTACCGATATACCCTGTTACTATTCAAGTACCTTGTATACGACAAGCCACGCGAAAGTTTTGCGAAAAAACATTTAATTGTATGAAACACTAGGTAATTGTAATTCATTTTGAAAATGCGATTATTTATAAGTTAAAATACGAATATTCCAATTTCAAATTGTTACCGACATATTATTTTAACGAGCTAAATTGAAGTAACGTGTTTCATTGAAAAATGGATTTGCTTTGGGAATATTTCGCGCAATAGTTCTTTATGATATCAAATTTGGCCTATAACCGGACTAAACTTTAGATAGACACATATAATTTAAACAAGCTCTCCTAAGTCAACCGTGTACTTATAACAATAATAATTGTTTATTTCGGACAACTTGTACAACTATATGGGTTAGTATAGTGACTCAAAAAATTAGTGCTGATAAAAAAATTGCACGGTGAACTAACTTTAGGAAACGAAGTACGAAGTGGTCGCCTTTTTGATAAAGGCTGTTATATAAGGAAACGTGACGTAACGGAAAGTAGGTGAATTACGTATGAAGAGATTCATCACATATTGCAGAGTGGATCGGGAAGAGTTCAGGAGATTTTATAAGAACATCTTCATGTGAAAAGGATAGTTTTGCATCGGATTCGCACAACCTTACCAATGCTCAGAAGCAGGCGCGCGTGAAATGGTGACGTGACATTAATATTAAATTTGAAACAGGCTCATCATATTATTACAGACCAGCGCCAATTGACGATTCATAAGTGTTAAAATGAATCAAAGTCCAACAAAGTGAAGCGATCAAGAAGCGCAGAGGAAAATTAGGTCACTAGTTTTTACAATTTGGCGGCGTGTCGATTTCTTTACGAAATGGAATTAGCATCCAGAAGCCATTCTTTTACGAAATCAAAGTATCATCAGAACGCCGAATGGTATTCTACCAAATGCTTGCCAAAAGTGTTAACTACTGTGAGAGAAGCCTCGCCCGCGCATTCAAAACGTGAAACTTCCTGAACTGCACATTGCTTAAGCCTTTGGCCTACCCTCCTTACAGCCTTGATTTGGCATCGTGTGGATTTTTTTAAATTCTCTTAACTTAAAAATCTGCCGAAAGGGATACACTTTTCATCGCTAGAAAATTCACTAGCGGGGCTCGAGCAGGTCATAGAATAAATGTCTGAGGCGGACTGGAAAAAGTGTTTCAAAAATTGTGAGTTTTAAACTTTTTATTTTTTATTTTGCAAAACTTTCTGAGTGGCCCTCGTATTTTGATCGTAACTTAAGACGAAGCCGATCAGCTTACAATATTAATAAATTAAAATTATAGAGAGACGAGTGCAAGTATCAATACAACAAGCAACTAGTTAATAACCTTTTCCAAAGGTCTACACTTCGTTTCAAGTTCTGCTTGTCGTGCTTGCAAATGAAAAGTTGAGATTAGACTTACAAGGTAAATTATTAAGGTCCATCTAAGAATACAAGTACGCTTCTGGAACCTTCTTTGATCTCAATACTTTAAAATTAGTCTTGGTATAGTGTGTATTATTCAAGACTCTGGTAGATACTATAACCTATAACGTGAGATGATGTCCAACACGTGTTTGATGCTTATCGCTGATGTGTTTCATATGGTAAGTGTTGAAAGCCAGTGATCCCCTAAATTAAAAATCTGCCGAAAGGGATACAGTTTTCATCGCTATTTCATCTTTCTCAGTTAAAGTGGTTGACCACAAGCCAGCACAGAGATTTCCGAATCCTGTCCACTCTGTTTTCAGTTTTTAATGATCCTTCCTCACCCCTTTATCTAAAAGAAAGGTTTCAATTCCTTAGTGACACTCATTCTCTCAATCTCCGTTCTTCACAAAGTTTATTCCTGTCCACTCCTCTCCACCATTCTGGGTCTATGTCAAATTCTTTCACAGTTGCTTCCATTACCCTCTGGAACAAATTGCCTGTTGACCTGCGAACAACACCTGCCAAAAATGTTTTTAAAAGAAAACTATATGAGCATATCCGTAGCCTAAAAAGTTGAGTCAACTTATTTTATATGTTTATATTTATTTATATATACATTTATTGAGATTGATAAATGTGTGTGTTTATATGTATATGTATATGAATTATATATATTTTATATATATGTGTATATTTTATGTATGTGTTGCATGTATATATTTGAACTGAATTATATCATGACAACTTAACTGCCCAAACTCACTCTCTGTTCTACCTAAGATTAGCTGGTAGAGAATGCCATATAGCATTAAGCTCGCCTTTTGTACAAATATTTGGTGCAATAAAGAATAAATAAATAAAGCGACTGGCCTGTTGGTCTAGTGGTTAGTGACCCTGACTGCTACGCCGGAGGTCGTGGGTTCGATTCCCACCCAGGACAAATGTTTGTGTGATGAGCACGATCATTTGTTCTGTGTCTGGGTGTAATTTATCTATAATATTTATGTATTTAGAAATATATAAGTATGTTTATCAGTTGTCTAGTACCCATAACACAAGCTCTGCTTAGCTTGGGACTAGATGGCGTTGTTTGATAGTTGTGGAATATTATTATTATTATTATTAAATAAAATCCCCTCATGGCTGAAAACACATCTGTATTTTGTTTCTTAATCGAGGATAGATGTAGATGTCTATGGGCCACAGCAACCACTTAAAATCAGGTGGACTGTGTGCTTGTTTATCACCCTTATTCTATGTAAAAAAATCTGCTTGAAATAAATTTACATACGATATAAATTTTCAATATTACTATAAATAAAATAATATAATCCAATTTTACTTTAATAAAAAAGAATACCAAACTAAAAACTTAATTATCATACAGTCCTACTCCTCGTGGTAACGTGCCAAGAACGCTGGCTGCGTTTCCCCGCTGAATGGCTATACTTAGCCTTTGAGCGAAAAAAGAACCAGGCCTCTTATCACCAGCAGCAACGACCAGCCGCGGATAGAGTTCCTTTAGGAACTTCACCGCATGCTGACCCCACGGACCGATAGTCTCTACAGCAAATGACACAAATAATCATCTCTCAGAGACTCATATTTGCACCACTTCAACTCATAGGGTACAGTTCAGCTACCCCTGATGACGCCCCGGCTTTGAATTTTCATTAAAATAAAAAAATTAACGAAAATAACAAGAAAAACAAACGTGTATAACTGTCGAATTATTTGAAATATTCTTGGCAAGATTTTTTTTAATCGTAAATTAAGCGTTTTATTCTACAGTATGTGCCTATGCTGAAGGATTATTTAATTTTTTTAAAGTCACGTAAGTAGAACTTTATTCAAAAAAAAAACGCAAATCATTTTTTTTTATTTACAGCATCATGGCGGTTGTCGAAGAAATCCAGGCGTATCACTATAGTTCAACGCGTATAATCTTCTATCCCCTAGTTCTGGTCGTCACCTCGTTGTGGCTTCTTTACCGATGGCAACAACAAACGAGGTTTTATAAACTCGGCAATAAATTGCCAGGTCCATCCACTGTGCCATTATTCGGCAATGCATTAATGGTTTTGGGAAAAAACCCAGATGGTAAATCTACTAGCAACATATTGCATTTTCTTTTACGAAATCTACAGTTATAAGTATTATCCTTGTTCAATTTAATTACTTTATGTGTGCTTAATTGTAATATTCATAATATACTGAAATATAAACAATTTTATATTTTCTTATAGTGTAAATATTTTATTTTCCCATGTTTAATATTGATAGTATTAACTAAATTATTGTTCAAAACATAAATCACATGACATCATAACCGTTTTAAGTGTTTCTATCAAATAACTTTAAAATCACTAAATACATTAAAAATCGTTTCAAATTTTCAATTAATAAAAATATTATATGTGTTCTGAGAGAAAATTTGTATTTGTAGAATTAATAAATTTGGGACTGGAATACACTAAGAAATACGGTACGGTGATTCGGGGTTGGATAGGATCCAAACTCGTGGTTTTCCTGTGTGATGCTGATGATGCAGAGGTCATCCTCAATAGTCAAGTCCACATTGAGAAGGCCTCAGAATACAGATTCTTTAAGCCTTGGCTTGGCGAGGGGCTTCTAATAAGTTCAGGTGACTCTTGTTCCTTTTATACTTTTCTAATAGTTATTTAGCTCTACATATTAATAACATAGCCTACATTTTACTTACAAGTATGCTACTTATTTTTTTAGAGAATCTATGTTCTATTTATTTTTCTTAATCTTTCATTCCATACTATACAATACTATGCGATAAACATTCATATGATTACGTTACAATTATTTTCCTAGGTGAAAAATGGAGGTCACATCGCAAAATGATTGCGCCTACATTCCACATTAATATTTTGAAATCTTTCATTGGCGTATTTAACCAAAACAGTAGAAATGTAGTGGAGAAAATGAGAGGAGAAATGGGCAAAGAATTTGATGTACACGACTACATGAGCGGGGTCACTGTTGATATTTTACTTGGTAAGTACTAACTTATGATTGATTGCTTTTCATTTTCAATGTCGGCAAATACAAATTAGTAAGTATTGCATAATTGAACGATTTACAAACGTCTTTCATATTGACTTCTGAACTGTATTAAAAACGTTACTGTCGTAAATAACACTAAACAATAACACTTTACGTAATATATATACCGTTTAGTGGCGGTGTAAGAACATCCAGTACCCCATATCCTTCTAATAGGCGACAGAGGGAAACAAATCAGGAGATGGGCAGCAGTGTGTTCCTAATAACAAATATATTTTAATTAAACGGTGGTAGAGCCCTGCAGCAGTTTTTTGCTGTTGCACGTATGGGCAGGCTCGAGCCGGGTTGGTACCACGACCTCACAGAATACCGGCGTGAAGTAGAGGCTCTGCTTCTGCGTTTCGTCTGGTGAGTGCAGGTGGCCGGAGGCCCAATTCCCCCCCCCCCCCCCCCCATCAACATGGTAGCGGAATTACAAAGTAGACTACCCCAGGAGGGTACCAGTACCCCTGGAGAATCCCTCGCTGAGCATCCACGACCATGTTATTCCAATCCTGAGCGTGGGTGCTCAGGCTGCCCCGCGTATTCTGGGGGGGGCAAAATTCCGCTCAAATACAAAACTGCTTGGGGCAAACTGAGCAACAATACCAAGGCGACCCCTGCCACGCTATCCGTGAATTTCTGCAACATCAGGGGACTTCACTCTAACCTAAACGCCGTCCACTACCATCTCGAGACGGCGAAGCCGGCCTTGCTCTTTCTGACCGAGACGCAGGTTTCCTCTCCGGCTGATATTTCGTATCTCTCCTGCCCGGGGTACAAACTGGAGCACTCCTTTGTGCCTCGGGCTGGAGTTTGCGTGTATGTCAGAGAGGACATCTGTTCTCGACGCCTCGGCAGTCTTGAAGGTTCGGACCTGTCCATCCTTTGGCTACGCGTAGACAGCGACGACCATCCGCGCGTCTACGGGTGCCTCTATAGGTCCCATAGCGGTAATGCCGAAACAGACCGACTCATCGACCACGTCCAAATGGCTACAGATTCCTTGCTACAACAGGTCCCATCCGCAGAGATCGTGATCCTTGGCGATTTTAACGCCCACCATGCCGAATGGCTCGGTTCACGTTTAACCGATCATGCGGGGAGATCTGTTTATGACTATGCTTTGGCATATGGTCTGACACAACTGGTTACTTCGCCTACGCGGATTCCAGATGTGGAGGATCATACACCTTCCCTGTTGGACCTTCTGCTGACCTCTCATCCGGACGGATATCAGGTTTCCGTCGATGCCCCTCTCGGCTCTTCGGACCATTGTCTGATCCGGAGTATGGTGCCACTCACGCTCCCTTCGCGGTTGCGTTCTGCAGGTTGCCGCCGTGTTTGGCATTACAGGTCGGCGGATTGGGACGGAATGCGGTCTTTCTTTGCATCCTACCCATGGGGGCGGGTTTGCTTCTCGCCGGATGATCCCAGCGCTGTTGCTGACTCTGTCACTGATGTGGTGCTACAGGGAATGGAACTATTTATTCCATCATCTGTGGTACCCATCGGAGGCAGGTCTCAGCCTTGGTTTGGTCGCTCCTGTAAGACTGCATTGCGCAGAAAGCAGGAGTGTTATCAAGCCTGGGCTGCGGCTTCGGTGACTCGGGATGTAAACACCAGCACACTTAAAAAGAAGTATAACTTCGCCTCCAGGTCCTTCAAAAGAGTTATTGCCAAGGCAAAGTCAGAGCACATAGGCAGAATTGGCGAGAAACTAGTTCGCCTTCCTTCGGGAACCCGTGCATTCTGGTCTCTCGCCAAGGCTGTCCAAGGGAATTTCTGTAAGCCATCACTACCATCTCTGCACAGGGAGGACGACTCACTGGCCCACGACGCAAAAGAGAAGGCCGACCTTTTAGGCTCCCTTTTTGCGTCCAACTCGACTGTTGATGACGGGGGGAACACACCGCCGACCATCCCGCGGTGTGAGTGCTCTATGCCGGATGTGCTATTCTCACAGCGCTCGGTTCGCAGAGCACTCCTCTCCCTTGACATCCACAAGTCGAGTGGGCCTGACGGAATCCCCCCAATTGTGCTGAGGACGTGTGCTCCGGAGTTGGCACCGGTTCTAACGCGTCTTTTCCGGTACTCCTACTCCCATGGCGTTGTCCCGAACTCATGGAAGACAGCTTTTGTCCACCCGATCCCTAAAAAAGGCGACCGCTCAGACCCGTCCAACTATAGGCCTATCGCGATCACCTCCTTGTTCTCCAAAATAATGGAATCCATTATTAACTGCCAGCTCATCCGGTACCTTGAGGATCACCAGCTGATCAGTGACCGCCAATACGGTTTTCGTCGGGGTCGATCAGCTGGTGATCTTCTAGTCTACCTGACCCATAGATGGGCGGAGGCAGTAGAGTCCAAGGGGGAGGCGTTGGCCGTTAGTCTGGACATTGCGAAGGCCTTCGATCGGGTTCGGCACAAAGCGCTTCTTTCGAAGCTCCCTTCCTATGGGCTTCCCGAGAAATTGTGCAATTGGATCACCAGCTTCCTTGCAGATCGGAGCATCAAGGTCGTTGTAGACGGTGCATGTTCTGACTACAAGCCTATTAACGCTGGTGTTCCACAAGGCTGTGTGCTATCACCAACGCTGTTTCTTCTGCATATCAATGATATGTTGCTAACTGGTAACATTCATTGCTATGCGGATGACAGCACTGGTGATGCTCTATACACCGGCCGGGCCAATATTTCTCGGGAAAACGTCGCCGAGTACCGGAACAAACTTGTGTCTGAAGTCGAGTCTTTGCTGGACAAAGTCTCGGATTGGGGGCGACTAAATCTAGTCCAGTTTAATCCTCAGAAGACACAAGTTTGCGCGTTTACCGCTAAAAAGAACCCCTTTGTCGTATCTCCTCAGTTTCAAGGCACTCCCCTTCTTGCCTCAGCCAGTATCGGTATCCTCGGAGTCGACATATCGAGTGACGTGCAGTTTCGTGGTCACTTGGAAGAGAAGGCCAAATTGGCCTCTAAAAAGCTTGGCGTGCTCAGCAGAGCGGGACAGTATTTCATGCCGGCACACCGCCTGCAACTTTACAAGGCGCAGGTTCGGCCTCACATGGAATACTGTTCCCATCTCTGGGCAGGGGCTCCCCAGTGCCAGCTCCTTCCACTTGACCGCATCCAGCGCAGAGCGGCTCGAATCGTCGACGACCGAGCCCTTTCCGATCGGCTCGATTCATTGGCACTGCGAAGAGATGTTGCATCTCTTTGCATTTTCTTTCGCATCTACCATGGGGAGTGCTCTGAGGAATTGTTCGGATTAATCCCAGCCGCCAAATTTCATGAACGCACATCGCGGCAGAACTCCCGATACCATCCACACCATCTGGATGATTGGCGGTCCACCACTGTGCGATTTAGAAGATGTTTTCTTCCTCGCACGACTTCCTTGTGGAATCGATTACCATCAGCGATTTTTCCGGACCGATATGACTTAGGGACCTTCAAGAAAAGAGCCTACTCCTTTTTAAAAGGCCGGCAACGCATCTGCAATTCCCCTGGTGTTGCGGTTGTTCATGGGCGGCGGTAGTCACTTACCATCAGGTGAGCCGCATGCTCGTTTGCCCCCTCTCCTATAAAAAAAAAAAAAAAAACCTAGTCAGGTCATAAGTGTTGTCACTCAGTAAAAACTTTTCTTTTAGAATGCTGGCCACAAAAAAGTTTATTGAATTCGAATTTCAAATTGTTCATGAAAATAAAACTGTATACTTTTTAGAATTTTACTCATTTTTAAATATGGAGTGGACGCTTAAAGAAGACCGTGTTGCAGTTATTGCGTTGCATCGTTGCGGTTACGCGCCAATTCAAATTTTTGACATACTGAAAAATTTGAGTATAACCAAAAGATTCGTTTATCGTACCATCAAACGATACAACGAAGACTCTAGTGTAGATGACAGGTCAAGAAGTGGTCGCCCTCGGTCTGTTAGGACTCCAGCAGTGATAAAAGCTGTGAACGCGAATTCAAAGAAATCCCAAACGTAAGCAGAAACTGTTGGCCCTTCAGATGGGGTTAAGCAGAACCACGGTGAAAAGGGTGTTAAATGAAGACTTAGGGCTTCAGGCATATCGAAGAAAAACAGGACATCGTTTGAATGCTCGTCTAATGGACCTGAGACTGAAGAGATGCCGCGCTTTGTTGAAGCGGTACGCGGGAAAAAAATATCGGAAAATTCTTTTTTCGCATGAAATATTTTTACCCTAGAAGAGAGCTACAACAAACAAAATGATAAAGTTTACGCACACAGTAGTGAAGAAGCGAGCAACCGTATTCTGCGTGTCCAACGAGGTCATTTTCCATCCTCGCTCATGGTATGATTGGGAGTTTCTTATTGGGGATTAACAGAGGTACATTTTTGTGAGAAAGGTGTAAAAACGAATGCAGTTGTATATCAAAATACAGTCCTGACGAACCTTGTGGAACCTGTTTCTCATACCATGTTCAATAACAGGCACTGGGTATTCCAACAAAATTCGGCGCCAGCTCATAGAGCGAAGAGCACACAAGACTGGCTGGCGGCGCGTGAAATCGACTTCATCCGGCACGAAGACTGGCCCTCCTCCAGTCCAGATTTGAATCCGTTAGATTACAAGATATGGCAACACTTAGAGGAAAAGGCGTGCTCAAAGCCTCATCCCAATTTGGAGTCATTCAAGACATCCTTGATTAAGGCAGCCGCCGATATTAACATGGACCTCGTTCGTGCTGCGATAGACGACTGGCCGCGCAGATTGAAGGCCTGTATTCAAAATCACGGAGATCATTTTGAATAAACTTTAGTGTCATAAGAATCTATGTTTAGTTAAGTTCATTTTGGTATATAAATGGTTACATAATGAATAAACTTGTTTCAATTATTTTATATTAAACATGTGACAGAATTTATGACCTGACTAGGTATATATACTACACTACTACACACTACTGTACATAGGCCTCCCCATAGATTGATTATATCCCCATGATATGAGATATAGCAGATATGAGATCCCCATGATATATATATATATATATCATTGATTATGAACTGTGATGATCTTAGCAACAGTACTAAATCGTAGTTAGTCTAATTGTACTGGCTCTGAGCGTCCTTAAACCAGAAAGCAACACTATTACTTTAAGACATATAATAAGGTGCAGTACACAGACGGTATCTTTAGCAGTTAAGGAACCACCTAATCACTTACACTCACTAAATTTTACTTTACATTTTTAGAAACTGCGATGGGCATTACTAAAGAAACTCAGGATGAATCTGGTTTTGACTACGCTATGGCTGTAATGAAGTAAGTAAATAGAAGATTTATTCACCTTATGAAAATTCTATTATTTTAAAATATTAAATACATATTCATATAAACAATTGTTATTACTTCCAGAATGTGTGATATTATTCATCAGAGACATTATAAATTCTGGATGCGTTTCGACGCCATTTTTAAATTGACCTCATTTTTTGAAAAACAAAAACACCTTTTGAGTATTATTCACGGTCTCACAAACAAGGTAATTAGATTTTTATATAGATATTTATTTTAAAAACGAACCTTTGTGACATATTGAAATGAATATTCACAGGTGATAAAAAGCAAAAAAGAAAAATACATAGAAAACAAATCCAAAGGAATAATTCCACCGACTATTGGTGAGCTTACACGTTCCTCAGCCAGTAATGATACTGGGCTAGCAAACGTTCAAACATTAGCTGATACCGTTTTCAAAGGATATCGTGATGATTTAGACTACAACGATGAAAATGACGTTGGTGAGTAAAAAGTTATTAAAATGTTAGAATTAAGTTTAATATTATCGATTCTCTTATTAGAACATTTAACACTTACAAGAAAATTTGACCAAGACCATATGAGTATAAACAGTAAACGTTGTTACTTTTTTATTTGCAGGTGAGAAAAAACGGTTAGCATTCTTAGATCTAATGATCGAATCAGCTCAAAATGGAACGAATAAGATAACTGATTATGAAATCAAAGAAGAAGTCGATACAATTATGTTTGAGGTAATATATATAGAAATATTTTATATAGATAGCTTAACAATTATAATTGAAGAAAATATCTTAGTTCAGTATAGTTTCATACAGCCCAATATATGAATATTGGTAAATAAATAAAATTCCACCAAAAACATAAACGTGAATAGGGGACAAAATTCAGTACAAATGATATTTTGGTTGTCGGTGTCGCCGATAAAGGAAATAGGTGAAATTAGAACAAGTTCCATAACAGTTCCTTAAATCATAGCTATAGAAATTAACAACATACTTCAATTAATTTTAAAGTTTTTTTAAAGTTAATTTTAAGAAAGGAGTGGACTTGTGAAGGGTTGTAATGATGATTATGAATGTGATTAATGTGCAACAACAACGCTTACGCGAGCTCCTCTGTGTGCGATTCAATCCTCAAGGTTTTTGGCGACTGATTGACCTTTATGAATGTGTGCATAATAGTAAAATAGTAGGCGTTACATATTTATGAATTACAATCAGTTAAAATAGTGCATTACCACGCATTTTGAATATAAAAAGGACAGATTGTTTGAGATTTGCAAAATAATCCTGTATATTATATTACATTGCAAGTCCAATAAAGGCCTCCCCCAAATAATGTCCATCAACTTTCGCATCTTTTACTCCATCCTACACTAGGTCTTCATTCGATCTGGTGGGGAGCCGCTCTGCAATTCCCTTCCCGACGCGAAGCTGCTACTTGAAAACCTTTCTTCCCTATCGATTTCTGTTTACAGATCCGTTGTGATATATCAGTTAATCTGGTTCTGCTACGGACATCCTAATTTTTTTCTTGAATTTAATGTGAAACATATTATGATATCATAAACAGAAGCAGCTATAAAATAATTAGAAAGGTTGGCTAGCTAGTAGCCTGCTATATTTATTCCTAAAGTATATAATTAAAGTATATGGCTCCGTGGCGCAGTGGCTTAGCAATCGAATTAGCCGCGGGTTCGAATCCCGCACGGAACAAGTATTTGTATGGCCTACAAATAATTGTTCCGGGTCTGGATGATTGTCCTTGTGCAATTTATGTTTGTAAACTGCCTACACGACACAGGAGAAAATCCTAGTGTGGGGGTAACGTTTTTTTTTTAAATATGTATTTAACCACATTTAATAATTTATTAGAATGGCCGCGGCAGTGGGGCTAATCATAATAATTGTTAATTACAGTTTCAACAAGGACATGTGCAAATTTCTAAATATATACCGGTCATAGTCTATTCTTCGCAATTTCTGTAAAAGGTCTTGTCTTATGAATAAAACAATTCATAGTAATATTTTTAGAATGTGTTTACAAAATATAAAAGCTTAAGTTCCTTACGAAGTCTATCATGATTGTGGATATTATTATATATAAACGTTGCCACACCCGACAAAGTACGAGAATTTATAGCACTACATTTATCTTCTTGTTTTCTTCTTTTTATATCAGGCCGTTCACTGCTGGACATTAGCTGCTCACTTTGTAGAGAGGATGTATTAAATAGTAAAATTTATCATTTAAAGCAACGTTAAAATAAATTAAATTAAAATATTTGAAATTATATCTTAGGGCCACGATACCACCGCCGCCGGTTCCAGCTTCGTGTTATGCCTTCTCGGCGTTCATCAAAAAATTCAAGAAAGAGTATACGATGAATTGTACGAGATTTTCGGCGATTCCGACCGACAAGTTACATTCGAAGACACGTTGAAAATGAAATATCTTGAAAGAGTAATCTTTGAATCGCTTCGAATGTACCCTCCTGTACCCATTATTGCGAGAAAATTGAAGCAAGATGTTAAAATAGGTAAGACTAATTATCACAAGTTTTGGTAACTGTACGAAGTACAGGTCGTAAGAATCTAGGCTAATGCAGGGATGGTCTTGAAGGCTGACCCGATTGTTAATATCTCGGTAGCGATGTAGTTATTCAACATAATACAGCCGACTCTCATTAATTCTAAACTCGAGAGACTCTTAAAATATTACGAATTATCGAGTGTTTGTAATATCAAATGGTTCGAAATTTTTGAGAAAAAATAAATAAAGATTCGGATTATTAAGTGTTGATCAATTACTGCTATTCTTTAACAATGACAATAGTTTAGACGTACATTCGTGCACATACTGTATAACTGTGCTATAACTTCTTTTATGAGAAAAAGTGCCTTACTCTCTGCAACTTTGAATTGTCGAGTGTTTGACGCCGACTAGTTCGAATTAACGCGTCGTTTTGTTACGTAGCAATGATATTTTCGTTCGAATTACCAAGTGCATAAAAATTTTGTAGGGAACTCATAACTTTGAATTATAGAGAGATTCGAATTATCGCAGGTTTGAATTAACGAGAGTCGGCTGAATCATTATTGTTTAACTGTGCAGCGCTGCGGCCCGCAGTATTGATTACTATACAGAACATGAAGACCGAATTTTGGTCAAGTTTGCCAATCTCAACCGAGGGACTAGCCATCTGCGCAGGATAGAATTATAGTACGCGAGTTTGAAAATGTAAAAATAAAAAAAATGACTAAATAATTTTGACACTTTTTTATGATTCCTCATTGTTCTAGTTGAAACTTTTCGAAGCTTCTGAATATTCTATAATATATTCATAAATGTTGCGTTCTCAAAGTTGGAAGAGGAGGGTATATAAAGAAATTCGTGCGATTTGCTTTATCAGTTATAGCTCCGGTTGACAAATCTTTGAACCATGATTTTGAGTGGGTACGAAAGTACAATGACAAATCTGAGGCTGGAACTATTTGTAACGTATTTAACATTTGCAACAAAATTCAAATAAAGAAGACTGTCCTACTATTTGGCAGAAATAGGCAAAATGATTATTGAACTTCTAGGCTTAAAGGAGTATCCTGGTAAACTTCTCCCACCAAATCCACTCAACCACGCCAAAATACTTGAACACTCCGCAAAATTAGTAATTCATTTATGGGGCAATGTATATATCTACGCTTTTACAACAAAATCCCAGAAAATGTACAAAATTTGTCAATAAATAAGTTTAAATGTTTTATTAAAGAAAAATTGTACAAAAAGGGTTATTATAATATCAAAGAATACATAAGTGAAAAAAAACCCTGGAAATGAGGTGATCGCCACCATGCCGGTTCGATTAAAACTTAAAAATTTAAAATTTGTACAAACAAAATTATTACAAAGTGAAATAGGTTTTAAAAAAAGTTCCGCTGGGTTGCTTGCTGGTTCTTCCCTGGACAGAGGTATTTTCCGTACTATGTAATAATCTATATTGAATAAAAATTATACTATTCTATTCTATTCTTGACTTTTTAACCGACTTCAAAAAGGAGGAGGTACTCAATTCAACTGTTCTTTAAATTTATTTTTTTATGTGTGTTACCTCATAACTTTTTTTCATGTGAACCGATTTTGATGATTCTTTTTTTATTTGAAAGCTAGTGCGTTCCATATGGTCCCATATTATTTCAAAATCTGAGCAGTAGTTATCCTCAATAATTTATATTGAAGTCGGTTCTACAAAATTATTAATTTTGCCACTTGTTAATTCAATAAAATGTGTCAATCCTGCCTCACCCACCTGACTCCCCTGACCTAGCATTTTGAGATTATTGCTTGTTTCCACAAAATGACAAATTAATAGGCTTGAAAGCAAAGATTTCAGAGATGTCTAAGGAAGTGTATAGGTGTTTAAGGTGATTGCCTCGAAGAAGTCGATATTAGCAATACAAAATAAATATTATAAATTTCAGTGTCTTGTTTATCTTGTATGTTTCCGGAGTGAGCACATGGGATTTTAGAACGAAAATTAAGAGCTTTCACGAAAAATTAACATAAAAAAGTACACGCAAAACAAATATACAAAATGCAGACTTACGATGAATTCCTAACATTAACTGATAACATACATATAAAGACAAGTATATGTTACAATTAATCTTAATATAAAAAAAAACTTAGGATTAGCGGGCTAAACTTAGATTTAGCTTTGTTCGAAGGGTAATTATATGTTTAACTGAATGTGTATTTGCAATAAACTTTTTCACCATTAGCCTGATAATTTTAGTCATAAACAAAACGAATACAGCTAATTTTGTCAAAATATACCAATAAACTTTTTTTTAATAGATACTTAGTTTCTATCGCAACAACCAGTGAAAGAAAAAAACCAACAGATATTTCATTTGTTTTGGTCACAACTTACATGGATGTAGTTGAACCGATATTTTCAGTGTTAGTTTTTGAAATAAATGGTTTATACTATACGGAAATTTCAAATGTTTTTCTAGTTTAGTTATCTAGTAATAATATAAACTCGTAATAAAAACGGTCTTAAGCTGACAACTTTTCGGCGGCACCCCATTTCATTATCTTTGAAAAGAAATAAAAAAATATATATTTGTAAGCAGAGCTCTACCCAATTAGATCTTGACATTCCGTTTATCCCACACGCTATGGTAATTATACATAAGTAAGAATTCTCCTCCTCTTATATTATATTATTACTCGTACACTAGCAACCGCCCGCGGCTTCGCTCGCGTCAAATAGGAAATTACGGTAATTTTGTTTATAGTTCATCCCTAAGGACCTATACTTTTTAGGATAGGTTCATTTTAAATAGGAAAATGGTGACAAATGAGCACACAGTCCACCTGATGGTAAGTAGTTGCTGTGGCCCATAGACATCTACGTCCATCCTCAACTATGAATCAAAATGCAGATGCGTTAGTTCTCTACACTCACGGCTCTACCACGTAAAAAGGATAGGTGTACCTTACCGTGTGTGCTATTGTGTACACAGTCTACCCACATATCCATACTTATTATATTACTGTGTATGTACCGGATTATTGATTACATTACTTACCTACAAGCCAAATTTAAAGTCTCTAATAAATTATAAAAGTTGCTTTATTTCCGTATAATTATCTAAGTTATACGGAAATAAGCCAACTTCAAAGCTAAAAGATAATTATCCTCTTTATTCTCCATCCCGTAAGTTTCAAGAAATTCTGAAGTTAGCTATTAGTGAATGTAATTACCTACTTACATGTCCAATTTGATGTCTCAAATAAATACGAGTTAGTTATAGAAATATGGCAACTTCAACGAAAACTCTTTATTCCCGAGCCCTTACGAATTCCAGAAAATTCTTCCTAATTTCTTGTCTGCATTATAAAGGCAACCTCTGAGCAAAATTTCAGCATTCTTGGTCCAAGGGCTTCGGTTGGGTGTATATGTGTTTGTGGGTGATTACAGTGAGTCGGTGACAGACAGACATTGATAAGGCTCCGTTTTAACTTCTGGCTGGGGATATAGGATAGATGTCCTAAAAGTTTCGCTAACTTATCTTAAGTTTATTACTTACACTAACATTAGGCGTAATATATAAACAAAATCGAAAATTTATTGACCTGTCGTAATAAATAATTATATAATTTTTTTTCAGCAACAAACAATTACGTCCTTCCCGCTGGTGCAACAGTGGTCATAGGTACTTACAAAATTCACCGCAACCCTAAATACTACAAAAACCCGGAGGTATTTGATCCAGATAACTTCCTGCCAGAGAACACACAAAACAGACATTATTACAGTTATATTCCGTTCAGCGCTGGACCAAGGAGTTGTGTTGGTGAGTAGCACGTATTATTGCAACCGTAATCTACACTAGTGGTGAAATAAAAATAAAATTGTACAACCCACTTCAATATAAATTAAATGAGAACATCATCAATGTAGTTTTATACGTGGTAGAGCCATGATGCAGCTATATTAATATTGTAGTTGTAGCCAACGCCGTCTTATACCGGGGCCCTTGGGCACACAAGAATTTGGGGCCCTGTTGGAAAGTAAAAAAAGTGAATGACTAAAACATTTTTCTGCTATATGATCTTATATTTATTATAATTAATTGGTATTAAATACTTAAGTATGTTGGTGCTTTGGATTGGTTACCATTACTACAGTGGTCTCTGTCGGGATTTCTGTTGTGCAAAATCTTCTATTATATCTTCAGTCTATTTTTTGAAGGATATCACTTTACATACACATAATTATTGACTAATTTGTTAATCGTTCTTATAACATAGTTGTTCGTAATTAATTTTTTATTCTCTCTTCTCCACTACAAGAAGCTCATATGCATTTATGTCTTCATGATAGAATTCTTCAAATTCAATGCATTTTTTGTCAACTCATCAGAATCGATTGTTATTAATTGATAAAGAAAACTAAAACGATCGTAAGTTTAATGTATGGATTACATGGAATAAACGTATATCTACACGAAATTTTTCTTTGTCATTTAACTGTACAGTCTCAGACAATTCTTCAAAAAAGTATCGCGTGTGCTGTGAATTCTTTTTCTTTCAGACTTATATTTATAATCAGTATTTGGATTTTTTTTTCGATCGATTTGTACTGGTTGAAATTGTTGCGTGTGTTACTGACATAATCGATCAGAGATGCGTAAAGATTTGTTGCAACGTCCATGGTCATAATGCAATTCTGTAAACTTAAACTGGTTTTGTTCATAATTCCCAAAACAAGAAACATTCCGTATCCCCGTAAAAATATTAGTATTCAATTTCTCCATTTTTTTTGCTAGGCTTTGGGCTTCGTTTCTTGTTTCTCTTGGTTGATTGATTTCACTTTCAATTGAGGAAAAAGCTTCTGAAAAATTATGTCTGCTATACATTCTGCACAATGTTTATCTATAGGCAAAAACTGCAAAAATCTCTCAATAGACTCTCCGTCTTTTACGTATCTAACGATGAAGGTTAGTTGACAATTGTTTTTAAAACTTGCTGTCACATTAAATTAATAAACTCATTGCAAATATTTGACAAATATGATGATTAAGATATGATTTCGTTCTTTTCCTTTTCCACGATTTCCGCAGTTTCGTATATGATCAGCAAGAAAATCAAATTCATTAATCAATTCTAGGCATCCGAAATAGTCCTCGTTATTTTAAAACCCCAATATCTCATTATCACCACGAAAAGCAAGATCCCTAGAAGCTAAAAATTTCACTGCTGCAACAATTCTTCTAAATACATTCTTCCAATGAATGACTTCTGTATTATATTGAGACAGCAATTAACTGTCAACTCTTCCAGTATTTTTGCTTCTTGCGACATAATTCATCTTTAATTTCCTGTGCTGTAAACTGTTCTAATGCTAAATTAATTATATGCTTCCAATCTTTATATTCATTAGGAAAACTCAAATTAGGCTTAGTATCAGTTGTAGCATTAAATAGACGGCAGCAATCGTAGTACACAGATTTCTTCGACGGTAAATAAAGGATCCATTTTCATTCTAAAAACTCACCATTCATTAATTTACGGGTAAAATTTTTTATAGTTAAATATCTAGTATTTTTTTTACCGCTTGAATCTGGGAAACTTGCAGAAGTTTCGGAGAAGTGACCCTTTTTATTTTGGAAAAATAATGGCCCTTTTCGAATCCAAATGTCGCGTAATTCTTCTGTTAAAATTTCATCATAATACGTACCAGGATCAGGAGATGATTTTCCAAGCATGTAGTTATTAACTCACAGTAGCGCGTATGATATTTTTCCAGTTGATATTCGGAAGTGTTTTGATCTTGAAGAATTCGTTGGCCTATTTGTTTCTTCAACCGTAAAAAATGATGTGAGCTTAGGTAGTTTTTCACCACAAACTTCAGCGTACAAGTTTGACCTTTCGGGAAATTCCCCAACCAAACACAATGTCGACTTCTATGTAGTGCATTGTATATACTGCAAACTCAAATTTGCAATGTAGGTACTTTTTAGATGTTTATTATAAATATTTAAATGTTCACTGTTTAGTAAAAGATTAAAAAGACTGTTCTGGTGTCCTATTAAAATTCGCTAAGCTACTACATATATTCATGTTTTTTCCTAATGTCAATTTAACCAACAACATTTTTTTATAGGATAGGGGTGACAATAGAGCGCACAGTCCACCTGGTGGTAAATGGTTGCTGTGGCCCATAGACATCTACATCTATCTTCGATTACGAATCAAAATGCAGATGCGTTGTCACCCGTTAGGACTAAGATGGAATGCCTCGTATCCAGTAAAAAGGGTCTTCGGTTCTCTACACTCACCATACGAAACACAGCAGCGTTAAGCTGCTATTTTACGCTGGTATTCTGTGAGAGCGTGGTCCTTCCCCGGTCGAGCCGACACATTCGTGCTACAACTATACTACTAATATAGCTGCAGCATGGCTCTGCCACGTATAGAAAATTTATTTAATTTATTTAATTAACTGTAACATTTATTTAACTGTAATTATATAAATACATAGATTACCGAAAATTAAAAAAATCCAGGCTATGAGTAAGGCGATTTTAGAGCTCGAAAAATAACGTTTATATAACAGCGAAACGTGGAACTACATGTTTTCTACCTAAGAAATCTGTAAATGCTACTTTTTCTGTCAAACTCGGCAATGTGTGGCTTGTCACTCCTCAGGATTTCCAGAAAGTCACTAACGACGCCCCTATTTACTCTTTAAATTTTTGTGTCGGGTAATATTTTGCTAAAACAGAAAAAAGATTGTAAAGTGTAAGTGAATATATCGGCCTTTCGGGGGCCCCCGTGACGATACGGCCCCCTGGGCACGGGCCCCGTGTGCCCTTATGGTAAAGACGGTACTGGTTGTAGCACGAATGGATCGGCTCGACCGGGGAAGGACCACGCTCTCACAGAATAACAGCATAAAATAGCAGTTTAACGCTGCTGAGTTTCGTATTGTGAGTGTAGAGAACCGGAGACCCTTTTTACTGGAAACGGGGCATTCCATCTTAATTCTCAGGAGTGAAAACGTATCTGCATTTTGTTTCGTACTCGAGTACTGATGTAGATGTCTATGGTCCACAGCAAGCACTTACCATCAGATGGACTATGTGCTCGTTTGTTACTCTTATTATTGTTATTATTATCCTATAAAAAAAAATTACCGCAACCCTAGGGCTCGTGGCCGCTTAAGGCCTAAGCTAAAATTTTACAGTACGCGAAAAACCCGAATTTGATCCCCACCGGCACCAATGAAATTATTAATCGCAATTACAAGTGCTGATTTATCACGTGCTAGGCACTGAAGGCAAACATCGTGAGGAAACCTTAATGTCTGTTCTAATAAATTTTGAAGACATTTGAAGTCCCATACACGCACTGGGGCAGTGTGGCGGACATGGTTTGTTGTTAGAAGTGTGAGGAGGCTTGTACTCAGCCGTGGCACGTAAAAAACCAATAACTTTACTGATATACATATTACATACATATAATCACGCCTCTTTCCCGTAGGGGTAGACAGAGACCACTTCTTTCCACTTGCTACGATCCTTACATACTTCTTACGCTTCGTCCACTTTTATTATTCCCTTCATACATGCTCTTCGGTTTAAGGTACTCTTGACCTCGCCTTTTTTCAAGACGTCCCTGATTTGGTCTACCCCTTCCAACACTTTCATTCACACTCGCCTTATACAATTATTTCGTCAATTGTTCTTCATTAATTCTCTCGACACGGCCAAGCCATCTCAGCATACCATTCTCAATTTTTGTCACTACGTCTTCTTTCAGACCACAACGTTTCCTTATCTCACTATTTCTTATCTTGTCACTCAGTTTAACTCCTATCATACTTCTTAACGCTCTCATCTCAACTGCATTTATTCTGCTTTCATGTTTCTTCTGCCATACCCAACTTTCACTTCCGTACATGAGTGTCGGGACCAACACCCCCTCATGCACAGCCAAACGAACCTTGTTAGACACCTTCCGCCTGCTCATAAAGGAGTGCAAAGCTCCATTCACCATGTTTCCTGCATTCACTCTTCTTTCGATATCACTCTCACACTTTCCTTGAACATTACAAAATAATATAAGAAGTGAATATCCAGAGCGGCGACAAAAAAACAGCGCAAGATTCGAGACGTCCGATTAACGCATAACCTCGCTATGTAAAAATACCTATTTCCTGCAATGCATTTTTTAATATAATATAGGTGACAAGCGAGCACACAGCACATCTGACGGTAACTGGATGCTATGACCCATAGAAATCTACATCTATCCTCGATTGAGAATCAAAATGCAGATGCGTTGTTACCCGTAACGACTAAGATGGAATGCCTTGTTTCCAGTAAAAAGGGTATCCGGATCTCTACACTCACCATACGAAACACAGCAGCGTTAAGCTGCTATTTTACGCTCGTATTCTATGAAAGCGTGGACCACCTCCGGTCGAGTGGACCTCGTGCTCCAACTATAATATGGCACTGCATGCCAGTACAGTGCCAGAGGCATGGATCTACCACGTAAAACACTTTTAGGGGCTTGTGAATAAAATTGAAATTAATAACTTTCCGACAAACTTTCTTCCCGGCACAAGTAACCTATAAACTGACCTAGTCGTTTCATATATTATAAAATCTTTTTACAGGTCGCAAATACGCTATACTTAAACTAAAAGTTCTGCTGTCCACCATCTTGAGAAACTACAAAATGGTGTCAAATGTAACTGAGGACCAGTACAGACTCCAGGCGGACATTATACTGAAACGAACTGACGGGTTTCGCGTGCAGATTGAACCTAGGAAAAGGGTGCCGACTTCAGTAGCATAAACGATAACACTAAAAGAATTTTCAGTGGATGATGGAACATAATTAAAATTATGTGACACGTTATTTGTATTAACTAATAACCAACACATTAGTATTTAAGAGTTGCTTTAAGTAGTTTATTAACGTATTTGTTAATGTAATATATTATTAAATATGTATCTATGGTAAACGGCCGGTGATCAGTTTATTATAATTTAATTAATTAATTAATTAATAGACTGTAAATTGTCTTTTTGTTTTTTTTTTTATTATTAAATCAAATCGTGTTTAATTTAAACGCCTATCTTCATATTCCGTTGCAATTTATTTAAAAGATAATTCCTGTTTATAACATTATTGCGTAATGTTATTTACATTAGCGCATTATAAATTATTACATATATTATTACAAAGTATTATAAATTACAAAATCCTTTTAGACCTATGTACCCAATACGCAGCATGCAAATTACTTTATGTTTTACAGGAACAACAGGCACGTAAATATCATAAGGGGTTATTGTAATAGGTTAATCAGATTTTAATAAAACTACAAATATACTTACAATTAAGATAATTTGTAAAACATAAGAACAAAGTAATAAAGATTTGCAAGTAAGACCGAATATTTATTTTCAGACTTTTCTTCTCATAGGTGCAAATCGCGGCACGTAAGTCTAACGCTGAACGAAATTTAGAGGGTACGCGCACGAATTGAATTGCAGGAATGCGACTGAAGAGCTAATCAGCACGCCTTATGCACAATAACGTTTACCGCTAGACTTTCGTGCCACTACTTATATGCCTAGTTGCTATGTTTCAGAACCCAAATTTACTACATACATTCAAGAAATGTTTTGTTCCCCGCCACGTTCCGTAATGTCGTTGTATATTTAATGAATGTTTATGCAAACTGGCACTCATTCGGCAACTTAAGTAAAATTAAAATAAAAACAAATTGCAGTCATCGTGATTTAAAAGAAAACGTAGATTATAACAGAAATTGGTTTAGATTTAGAGCAAAAGAAATATTAGATAAATCAATAGAGCAACACGGGCGGACTGGAAGGGAGTAGCCATAGCATTTTGTTGAGCTGTCTGTCACTTTTTGGGTGTAGAAATCTGCGCACACAAAAACAATCGTCTGTCACTACGAAAACACACATAAATTAAAACAATAAACCACAGAATAAATAATAGTACAAGAATAAACTAACAATTTCACACACACATACATACATCAGACACGGACAGACACAGATCAGTCGCTCAACCGATCTTCATATTATGAAGCATTCTGTGTTGTGTAATGTTTAAGTTTGAAAATATAGAAGTATATAGCAATAATGTTATTAAAAATTACTTATTTAGGAATGGTAACGTAATCTTTATGTAAATTTTATGTTGTAGATCTCTTTTTGCAGCAAAAAACTGAACAATTCGGCATTTTTGTAAGGCGTCAATTCATCCGTGCAACTAAATTTAATATAGTCTAGTGAACAGTGCAGATGCGACTACTTTTATTGTACGCATAGGGCCGCATGAACTTAGACAGAGAGGAACGCCTGCATGTGGCTATTCTCCTACTACGATCCGCCGGTGTCCCGTGTTGCTCTATGAGATCATCATCATCATTACAGCCCTTCACAAGTCCACTGCTGAACATAGGCCTCCCAAAAGGAATGCCACAAAGCACGGTCCTGATCCACCTGCATCCATCGACTTCCTGCATGTCTTACCAGGCTGTCACTCCATCTAGTGGGGGGACGCCTTTCGTCCCCCGGTACGAGGCTGCCACTCGATAACCTTTTTCCCCATCGGTTGTCGGTTCTTCGAGCTATATGGCCGGCCCATTGCCACTTCAGCATACTAATCCTTTGGACTATGTCGGTAACTCTGGTTCGACTGCGGATACCTCATTTCTAAGTTTATCACGCAGAGAAACCCCGAGCATAGCCCTCTCCATAGCTCGCTGAGTGACCTTGAGCTTCCTCATACGGTCACCAGTAAAGGACCACGTTTCAGTTCCATAGGTCATCACTGGCAAACACGCACTGGTTGTACAGTCTAGTTTTATGTTTTGAGGTATACCTTAAGAATCAAAATGCAGATGCGTTGTTACCCCCAAGGACTGAGAATGAATGCCTTGTTTCCACTAAAAAGGGTCTCCGGTTCTCTATTTAAATTAATCTTTATAGGTATATAAAAATTACGTGTCACGTTGTTTGTCCGCGATGAACTCCTAAACTACTCACTCAACTGATTTCAATGAAAATTTGCACATTATGTGCAGTTTGGTCCAACTTGAGAAATAGGATACTTTTTGTCCCGATAAGTGGCCTTCAATATTTTTTTATTGCGAATTTAAGAATTTTTCATAGGAAGGGTCGTCGGAAAGGGCAGAACAACGTCTGCTTGGCCAGCTAGTTTTATATAAAATTTTATTGTAGAATTCGCAAAGCAAAAATTAAAACAAGACTACAAAGATAAGGCTGTAGAATAAATCAAAGTCTAGTTTATTCTCAGATGCAATATACAAATTGAATTTATCTAATATAAAAATTAATTTTCGTTTGTTCGTATTTTATGCGCTGCTATATACCGTTCATCAGATTACGGTAAAACTTTGTCAACTTATTGCTTGCATTTCCACGAAGGTTATAGGCATAGTACAATTAACTTAAGATAGGTGGCGCGCGTATCATAGTGACAAATTTATTTGAAAGTATATCACTCAACTTTAATAAAGGTATTATCATTCCTAAGTAACCAATATAAGTCTTCCAAATTCGAAACGATATAACCACAATTATTTGTTCTGTGGCAGCAACGCGCCGGGTACCAGCAATAGTGTCATATAAATTTTAAAGGATTAAACGTTACCAAATTGTAAATACGTATTTTTAATTGATTTCAAAACATGTAATCTAGTTTTTCACATATATATTTAAATTAGTAACAATAACAAGCAATTTATAATTCTTTTGAATTTAAAATGAATAAGACTGCGCGTCCATGACTTAGTGTTTATCTATTTCTCCTTAATTCGTTAAACTTGTCAATCTTCAAACGTGTGCATTTATCTATCTATCTATGTATCCGAATATTTTAATATAATTTTCACCTATTTTCAGATCGTTGATTGACTTGAAAGTTTGCACTCATTTTGGACCGATGACAACACAATAATTTAATAACTTCATCCTAGTATCCTGATCAGGATCACCAGGATAAAATAAATTAATTATCGGGATTATCACAGCTCATGCTCAATGCATATTGTTTAAGTTTTTTAAACTCTTAAGTATATTATTTAAGTTGCTTTTTTTCTATCTGCTTACGAATCGAATCTTTTCTCTTAAAATCCTTTGATACAGTCCTCTTATTTACTAAACTGACTATATTAATACTGAACCTTTTGTACGAATACTCCATTTTTAGCGAGAGTTTATAACGATACCAAAAAATCTAGGGTAGTAGCACAGTATTTGGTATTAGTATAGGTATAACCTACATATTTAGACTGTAGTCGTAACATTCGACAGTAAGATTAAAATGAGCGGCACCAATTTAAGTTCAAAATATTGCTATTAACTTTTGCAGGAGCAAGAAGCGATACTAATCTATGTTAATATCTACTATTTAACTTATAATATGCTTCATAGGCTGGTCGTTGGTGATTTTGCGAAAGATAATATCGAGTTTTTTTTAATAAATAAGGATGACAAACGATCACACAGTCCAACTGATATTAATTGGATGCTGTGACCCATAGATATCGACATTTATCGTCAAATAAGAATCAAAATGCAGATGCGTTGTCACCCCTAAACACTAATATGAAATGCCTCGTGCCAATAAAAAGGGTATCCGATTCTCTACACTCACATAGAAAACGCAGCAACATTAAGCTGCTATTTTACGCTGGTATTCTGTGAGAGAGTGGTCCTTCCCCGGTCAAGCCGACCCATTCGTGGTACAACTATGATATAGCAGCAGCTTGGCTCTACCAAGAATAGAAATTTGTTACGTAAAAATAACGTTTAAAACTTAACAATTGATAACGAATTTTAATGTTTTTCCCTAAATTTAACTCTATAAATGTTATATTAATATATATTACGATAATAATTTAATTAATCATATTAAGTTGCAAATTAATAGAATAAAGTAATTAGAGCTTAATGCTAGCTTGCTAGCTTTAGCGTTAAGAAGTGGGTGTGAAGGTGGATTGGGGCGGCTTAAATGTTTTCATTGGTTTCCTCCTCATTTGCGGTTCAATGCTTGCAAACTAATTATAAGTAGGTTAAAAATAATAAAAAGTAAACACGAGAAATAGTCATTTATAATTATAAAGATGTTGGTTAGATGATTTTTAGGCGTTATGCACTACTATAAACGTTTGTAAAAGTATTTTTTTTATAAAGTTTTACATAACAATACTTTGACGGATTTATTTATAACTAGCGATCCGCCCTGGCTTCGCGCGGTTGATTTCTGGATCACGACAACAATGCTACGTACTTGGATCAATTGTGAATCTAAACCATTCTCTAGCCAACTTAATCACATAAAATTTTATCAAAATCGATCCAGCCGTTTAGGAGGAATTAAGAATAATTATTTAATATACAACATGCATTTAATATACATATAAACTTTTCTTTTAAATCATGTTATCTATTAATGAAAAGTGCATCTAAATCCATTGTGCAGTTTAAAAGATTTACGCGTACAGACGACGAGATGCGACTTTGTTTTATACTATGCAGAGATGTCTGATTATCTAGTACTAAAATTGAGCATTAATTAACTTTATATCCGTCTCTTTCCATTTTTTTTTTCATTTAGTGAAGAGATTAACAGCAACTTTTACTAGTTCTTACATTGACGTCGACTTTTATAAGTAAGGTCGTTGGTCTTATATTTTGGCTCCAATATATATCGTATCATAGCTATATTAACCTTGATCTCGCTAAATATCTATAATATAGCCTGTAGACGAGAGAAGATCTTGAATT